TATTTAAGTCCTAGTGATAACTTCTTGTGGCAACTACCCAACTACTCTCGACAGTTGCATTCAAAATATGACAAATCTTTCTGTATATTTTGTTTAGACAAATATTGTGTTTGGTGTAACATTATAACTTTTTTTCCCAATTATAGGACGATGATTACTTTTGTACCTCAGAACTTATGGTGCATCATTTTGTTTAGACAAATATTATGCTCCGTATTTTTTTCTCTTTTAGGTATTTTTCATGTATTCTGATGTTCTTTTTATTATATTAGAGAGTTCAGGGTTTCATACATATGTTTTGACGTGATTTTAATACTAAAAAGGTTATATAAATAAATATCAAATTATAATTATTAAAAAATATAAATGCGTGAAAACTACCCGACATGTATATAAGACAACTACTCATAAAATTTAAAGGCCTTATAATTTCTAATAAATATTCTTTTATTTTAAACAAAACATACATTTGGTCCTTCATTTGAACACCATGGTGTTCTTATTTATTATAGTCGCAGCTGAGTTGTCGGAGAAAATATTACGTTGCCCTACGGTTATCCAAACGATGTTGTCGATTGCACCACACTGTTGTGTAAATGACGTGATGCGATCCACACCATTGTCCGCTCTTCTGATTATTCGAACGTGCCATCTTCTAGAGATTTTGTGACCTTTGATGGAGGTATAGGTGGCTTGTGCCATGTAGGAGGTGGATCCAGATCAGAATAGTCATCAGTCTTCACCATCAAAGGCTTACTTTCTCCACCTACAACATACATACATTATTACTTATGCAAGGATATGATTAAGAGTTGGGACAATTTGTATACATAAATGCCCCTCAAGTCCTATATATTTACATACCTAACCCCAAACTTCAATTTTTGCATGCTACCGTGCCTATGCATGAAAATTTTATATGATATGACAGATTTGGGTGTTATAAATGCAAAAAGAAGGCAAAATTTAGGTGTCAAGTATGTAAATAAATAGGAATAGGATGGCATGTATGTAAATTCCCCTGAAATTTACATTCCTACCACACAATACTCGTGAGTTTACCCATCTAGCAGCTAAAATGATATTTACACTTATAGCACACTTGATATTACAACTTTGAATGGTATGCATGTAAATATGAATAAAAAATATAACACACGGACAATATAGTTGTGGATTCACCACAATACCATCCAAGGCTATAAAAGAGCCGAGTTTGAGCAAGCTCGAGCTCGGCACTTGTTTGGTTTGTTCGAAATTGCACGCGAATAGTTTGTTTTTGTTCGTCTCAATCTAAATATTCTTCTTCGTATTTGACTCAAAATTGAGCTTCGAACTTGCACCAAATCTGTACAGTAGAAGACTCAAAACTAAATAACTATACCAGCTTAAATTTAGATATAAATATATATAATATATTATTATATAAATAACTTATTATAATTTATATATATATATATATATATATATATTCTTTATTTTCATGCATACGGATCAAATAGTTCAATCAAGGCCTGCTACTTACGTGAGAAACGGGCAGCACTGGTAATTCTGGCGGCGGCGGAGCCAAAGGCAGCGAGCAGGAGTACTAACAGGATCGTCAGCCAGCGATGGAGGCGGAGCATGATCGCCGGAGACGGACTCCTTCGAGTTGGCTTGTTTTGATGTTCAGGCCATTTAAGTAGGCGGAGGGAGAGCAAACAGTAAGCAAGAAATTAAAGTGTGGAAGAAGATGAGAGAGCGTTACAGAAGAATTGGGCTGGAAATCTGCAGAGCGCAGCAACTGCCACCAAATGCTGAAAACAAGTAGGATATTGGCGTTACGGTTTACGGTTATCTGTGCCGCACGATTTGGCATTGTACGTTGAAGATGTGCGAGCACTGATTTTGAGGAGATCAGACTGTTCAATAGGAAGAGCATATAATGAAGAAGGGCCCATCCACAAAAGTGTTGCGAACATGAAAATGGGTCCACAGCTCAACCAGATATTTTCTCATGTTTGACATCAAATTGGATTTGATATTCAAAATTAAATGATTTGATGCAGAAAAGAAAAAGAAATAATTAATGTGCTTCTTTAATTATTTGATTAATTCTTTAATAAGTCTAATGACATGATGAAATTAATAAATATGCATACTAGCTCCCCTTATTATCCCTCTTCGGCATTGGTAGCTTTCCAAGTTCTTCTTCCGGTATGCTTCAGTTTGAATCTATCAGGCAGAGAGAGAAGGAGAGGAGGAGCGGAGGAGAGGAGAGAGAAAGAGAGGTATAAAGAAAGAGGATTTCTTGTAATCGTCGAGGTGATCAACGGGTGTAATTCCTCAAGCTAATAAAATCCTCTGCAGCTCCGTGAACGTAACAATTTGTCAAACCATGTAAATATGTGTGTTTCGTTGTTTTATGTTTTGCGAATTTTCTCGATCCAGTTTTTTCTTTTATTACTGTCGTTTTTTCATAACACAAAAAATCACGACTCATTTATCTAACCAAATGCAACCCCGCAAACTAATAGTAAAGTTCGACCAGGTGTAGTTGTCTGAGCCAAAATTGAAGCTAGACCAAGCCTTGAGAAGAATAAAAAAAGAACAAAATGATCTGAATTAGAACCAGTCAAACTAAAATAAAATAAATTGCTATCCAAGTTAACCACTACTAGAATGTCGACCCAATGCATTAAACTACATTGCGACAGATCTGAACGGAGGAAAGATTCAGTTCCATAATACCACCAATAATCCCATATAATCCTCCAGAGCTCCTCATTAGAAATCAATAATTAACAATGCAACAAAAAGTCTTATAGTCATTCCTATGACTCTCATTGATGAAAAATGAGCAAATTTTCTACTTACAATGATTCACCATATGTTTAACAGTTTAGCATTGCTCTGTCTACAAGAGCTCATCACCAGAGATAAAAAAATGTCGACAACCAGATTAAATCAACCGATCGACAAAACTAACTGATCGAATCAATCTTGTCAACTCGAATTGAAGCCAATTAAGCTCACCAATTTGGTCAAGCCGGCTCAGCCTAGCTGACCAAACCAACTCAGTTGAATTGAAGCCATTTGTGCTCAACCTAACAAGTCAGATAGCAACCAATCAGTAAGCTCATATCCATTATGCCTACACTACCCTGTACAACTCCTAATAAAAGCAGTGGCAAAAGCATAACATCATCATATTGTATTCTTTCCTCTATAAATTAATATGAAGAACATTTTATGAACAAAATATGATAGATACTACATATTGTTATTCATTATTGTTCACTCATCTCTCTGTCTCTCTCTCTCTCTCTTCTCCTACACCATAATCTTTAGGATGCGATTCATGAACAAATCAAAATTTAAAAGAGAATCTTTGTTTTTGATATTGTGCATGTTTGTTGTTAACTAATTAAAGATAACTAATTCATTGTTATGGGAGGATGGCTAAAACATAATTAGTGATATTTTACTAATATGAATAGTTTCATTTGGAGCACATTGAAGAATGAAATAAACTTCAACGTGCTCTGAATGGAGCTATCTATAGAAGCAAAGTGGACACACTACTAAACATCATTAAGTCAGTAATTAACTACGTTTAAAATCTAACATAAGAATTAATCAATATAATGTCATAACAGTTCCTGTCATCTTGGCTCAAATTAATTCAATTATTAAATAGATAATATTATTATAATAATTTCATATTTTTTTTAACGATACATGTGTTTTAAAAGTTTTTAAGGGTTTGTTTGGGGCAGCTGCAGCTTATTGAATAATTTGCTGATAAGCTGATTAAAAATAATCTGTTGATAAGCTAGATGCGGTGGTTATTACAAATTTTTATTTTCTTGGAAAAGCCAGACCGTTGCCAGGAAGCTGCCACTGCACCTAGATAGGTGCGGTATGAAAACACAGTTTTCAGCGTTTTGAAAATGCATAAACTGCCAAAACGCAGTTTACCCAGATAAGCCATGTGCGTTTTCAAAACACCACTGCACAAAATAAGCTGCCTCAAGCGAACCCTAAATATTATTTTTATTAAGAACATTTGTACTAATTTTAAGCGGAAAATTAGTTGAAACGAACTAAAAAATTATATCGAAATTGAGTCAGATATGAATGTGTTATTCATGAATCATTTTGAATTAATAAAAAAAATGACCTGAACACGAATAAGCACAGATCACACTTACCTTATTCCTTTATTTTCTTACATTAAATTTTTTTTTAAAATACTATTTATTTTCATGATCATGTGTTTAATAGGCCCATCATTAGATGTTAATCACTTTTCTGGCTTAGAAGATTTATGTCAATTAACACATTTCAATTCATTGATAAAAAATGGAAATTAAGATTTTTTGTGCTATAAATTTCATTCATTTATTACTTAAACATAATTAAGTTTAATTTGTTTATCTCTAACATTTCTTAATTATGATTTGGCTTGGTGGCATAGTTGCTTAACTTGGCTCACTCAAATTTCGTTAGGGCTCTTAATGAGCCAATTTCGAGCGGAGCTGGAGCTGGCTTGAAATCAACTCGAGTGGATCACTCGATCGAAATCGACATGTGGCTCATTATATTCGAAATAGAAACGAGTTGGCTTGAATTTGATTTATTTGGATACATTCAAGCTCATAATTGACTCGCTCAAACTAAAAATCGAAATAATATGACAACTTGGATTCGTTTCAGCTCGTGATTAACTCGTAATTCTTTATATTTGATTTCATTTTACATTATATATAATTTTTATAAATAAAAATAATATAGCTCCCCGAATATATTTCAATATCTTCTAATCCAGGTAAAATAATTGCATACGTAAAACAAAGGGCTGCGTACGTCCGAGGTTATTTAGAGGATACAGGGGTTACATCGGCGTTATACTTCCTATAACCTCCCTATAATTTACTTGTAACTATCGAAACTACAGAAATACAGAGTTTATTTGTAAGTTATAAATAAGTTATTGAAAGATTACAAAAGAATTAAACGCGAATATTACCATTTGTACTCAAAACTTTTTCCCGAATCCCGCATAATCCATTCCCGTGGATCCATCCGTACAATAATTTCAAAATTCCAAGTCCTTCCCAGCAACTTTGCGTGGCGACAAACCCTCCGCCGCCGTGTCTACCGATTAACCCCAATATGTCCGCTGCCGCCGATCCGTCTTACCCTCCTCTTCCCTTCGACGCCGTCAACGCTCCTACGCCACCGCCGCCGGCAACCGAAACCCTTAATATTCCTCGGATCGACTTTGCAAACCTTAAACCCAAACAGCTCGGCGACGCTTGCCGATCACCGGGCATCTTCCGGCTCGTGAACCACGGTCTGCCGTGCGAGCTCTCCGGCCGGATTCAGGCCGAGACGCGCCGGATTCTGGAGCTACCGTTCGAGCGAAAGCGAGCGGAGATGTCCGAGCCGGGCGGCGGCGGGCCGGTGGTTTACTTCTGGGGTACACCCGCCGTGAGTTTGAGCCTACGGAGCGTTAATTGGCTCGAGGGCCTTCACGTGCCGTTAGCCGGAATCCGGTCCGGCGAGGGAGTGCTGGGGTGGTCCGCCTCTTTCCGGTGCGGTACTAATTTCCCCCTTTTTAACCTTTTCTTGTTTTTAATGTGGAATTTACATACACAGCACCCAATTTTTATGCATTTACACATCTCACACCCAAACTCTCATTTTTTTTTCAAAATCAAACACCAAATTTACATTTTTCACACTCTCCAACAATGAAATCCCTATTTTCATTCATAGGCAGGGTGGTGATTTTGTAAAAAATAGAAGTTTGGATATGAGATTGGTAAGTGCATAAGAATTAAGTTCTGTATATGTAAATTTCTTTATTTTTAATTTATCAGAATTTATTTGTTTATGTTTGGAGATTTGCATGCATACCACTTTATGCTTATGTATTGCATATTGAGCACCTAAACTTCTGTTACTTCTGATATATCTGCATATTTAACATCTAAGCATTCATATTTATATGCATACCGCTCAAATTTTTTGTATTACATCAAAATCACCACCTTCATCGTCATTTATGTAAATACATAAGCTTATGACACCAAGAGGTCATAAGCTTATGAAATACAGCATTTCATGCATTTCATGCATAAGCTTATGACACCAAGAGGTCATAGCTATAAATATCAGTATTGGATATATAAATACATAAGAATTATGTGGTATATCTCTAAATTTCCCTAAAATGCCTTTTAAGAATGAAAAGAAATTTTCTGAAGAAATAGTATCATCTCATCAACTCCTTTTCATGTCGCAGGCCTCTAATGGAAGAATATGGTAAACACATGGAGCGCATAGTAAGAACCCTATTCAACTCACTGGCAACAGATCTCAAATTGGATCATGCACATCTAGATTCATGCATGGATCCATCAAACGGCATTTTTCGAATGTACCGTTACCTTTGCTTACCTCAAGCTCAGAGCTTTATAGGAATGGGAGCTCATACAGATAGCTCAGTCTTAACTGTAGTAGATGAGGATGATGTTGGAGGGTTGCAGGTCTTTCATGGCGATGCATGGTTCCACATCATGCCAGTTCCCAACTCACTCATTGTCAACATTGGTGATATGTTGCAGGTGAGTCTGCAACTCTTGGTTCAATTTCATGAGCCACCGGAAATTACGCGGGTAAAAGAGAAAAATATCAAAATGCTCCTTTAATTCTCTATAGGGAGTCATTTTAGTCATTTTAGTCCTATAGTTTATAAAAATGGCAATTTAATTCCTAGAATTTTTTTAATAGTGGCCATAGTAGTTCCAACAGAAGATTATTTCAGCCTTGTTAAAAGAATATGAGGACTAATATGACATTTTTATGATTTATGGGATTAAAATGACCTCATATTTAAATAATTGAGGGACTGTTTTGACAGCATACTCAATCAAAAGATATAGTAAACTTGTAAGGTTGCTTCACCATCCAATTATTCGTTGGTGGTGATGCCATCGGATATCTTGGAGGAAAAAAGTCACCGGTCAGTGATATATCCGGCTATCCTTTGTGGCGGTCTTTAGCATCACAACAGAAATTACTTTAGATAGTTTTTGGGGCATTTATATACATATATACCACTCAATTTCTATGTATTTATATATCTAATACCCAAAGTTTTTATTTTTATAACACCTAAACCTTTCATATCATATCAAAATATCTACATTTTAACTTTTTAAAAGTGAAATATATCTTTTCATGCATAGGTAAGGAGTAACTCCTATGACAGACAAAATTAGAGAATCATCTTTGATGATTTGATCAAATTAAACGTCGACTATTTGATGATCCAATTAGAAAAGTAGATGTTTTAGATTCGACTTTTGTTAATTAAGGTAGGGTAGACCTAAAAAGAACTTGCCATGTTGTATAAAAAATGAATGTATTAGAATAAATGAAAATTTGACTGTCAGTAGGACACAATGGATAAAAAGGATTACCCCACTTAGTGGGATAAAGGCTTGTTATTGTTGTTGTATGCATAGGTAAGATGACATGTATATGTAAAAAATGTTTAGATGTTAGATATATAAATACATAGAAATTAAGTTGTATGCATGTAAATCTTCCATTGTTTATCTGTCAGAAATTTTCTGATGGAAATAAATCTGCTAAAATTCCATCGAAAAATATTAGTATTGGATGATTTTTTATGATTTTTTGTGGTGAGAAATTGTTGTTTTCCAGTATTATGATGATGATGATGATGATGGTTTAGGTAATCAGCAATGATGAGTATAGAAGTGTGGAGCATAGAGTGGTTGATAATGGAGCAAAGGAGAGGATTTCTTTGTGCTTCTTTGTGTTCCCTAAAGAGGCTTTCAAGCTTAGGAGCTTTAGGTATAGGGAGTTTACTTACAGTGAGTACAAGGCTCAGGTGCAGAAGGATATTAAGGAAACTGGAGACAAAGTTGGGTTGAAGAGATTCAGGCTCTAGTGTGACTTTGTGGTGCATGACTTGAGTAATTAAAGAAAAGCTTGTATTTAGCTTTACATTGAAATAGTCATATTTGTTTTGTTATTGTGAGCCATTATGGTATGATTATAATATAACATAATTATAGTGGGTAATATACATGTGCAGCACACAATTCCTATGTATTTATGTTATCTCGCCCCTAAACTTTCATGTTTACATACGTAGCATTTTAGTGCTTTGAATCTATGCATGAAAATGTGTATTTCACTTTTATAAAGTTATTGTAGTACTTTTTTTGATGTGATATTAAAGATTTGGGTGCAATGTGTGTAACTACTTGAGTTTCGGTGTGACACATGTAGATACGTAAGAATTGTGTCCTATGTATGTAAATGCCCCCAATTATAATTGGTTGTGTTGCGATATTTTTATGAATCAAGAGGGTTTGATAATGTCTTTTTGTCATAGTATAAAGGAGGTCGTTAGATGTATTGTACGTGTGTGATGCATTTATGGGAAAATATTCAATTTTATTTACTAAAGTGTAATTTAAATTTACATGGTTTTAAAAATTATACATTAATGGAGCAAACATGAATATTGGCACATTTGTTTGGTGTCATAATGGTGGAGTATGTGTACTATAAATTTTAAAAAGTAACTTCAAGACTTATTGAACTCCATTTTTAGTATATGTATGATCAAAGTAGTACAGTTTTGACAAAATGAACTCTCCAAATGAGCTCAAATCAAACAATCAAAGCTATGATTAAAGACTTTTTGTGGTCATTTGTTTGTCAAGCACAACAAATTTATGGTTGAATTAGTTCGCCTCAAATTTGCAAAGTTGCAACCAAGTATGCGAGCAGATGCAAAAGCCTTATTCAGCTAATTTGGTTTGTTAGTTGAGAGTTTAATTTAACTAAAAAGCTTCGGGGTTCAAGGTATTGCATGCATGATGTGCATGCAATTGTGATTAAATTTGCTAAGATCGTTTCATAGGAAGAGAAGGACAAAAACAAAAACAAACAAAATAAACAACACAAATATAAATATTTTGCATCAAATTCTTTCCATCATAATAACTTTAGGGTAAAAAAAAAAAAAAAAAAAAAAAAAAGAAGAAAAGAAAGATTTGATGTGACAAATGAAATTTGAATTAAAAAAATGATAAAGCGATGAACCAAGTGGCTCTTTCTCATTTAGTGACTTAATTAAATCATAATCACAATATACACAATTGATTATGAGCTCTTCTTAACCAAGCAGTTGTGAAGTTACTGAAGAAGAAACTATTGTTCAAAAAGCTGTGGTAGTTATTGCAACATGTTTTTTTGAACAAGTGTAGCTTTCTAGTAGCCACCATAGATAGCCAAACATGGTGTGAAAACGGGCATTTATTTTTAGCTTTTTGTGAATGTAGACAAAAAGTAGTTTCCCTAAATAGAAAAAACTATTGTACGACACTACACCGTTGCCCCAAACACATCCTTAATCGCTTCGCTGCGAAGAAATATTAGTAATACATTGGTTGCTAATAGTTTCTTTCTTTGATCCTTTTCTTAAGCTCTTATGATTCTTAGGGTATCAACTAAGCAATGGTTATGATATTTGTTTGAAAGTTTTGATTGATTGGATTTCAAGTTAAGACTCGTGTATGAATCCCACCACAAAAAATAAAAATGACATGTTTAAATCCTATAAAATTTTAGGGTGTTTTTGGGGCATAGTTGTGGTGAGAGTGTAGTGCCTAACTGCAGTTTTTTTATTTGACAAAATTATATTTTCTCTGCATTTTCAAAAAATTACAGCCGAAAGGTTCGTTTTCCCACCAGATCTAACTACCTGCAGCGGCTGCTTGGAAGCTACGATCTGACTTTTTCACAAAAAAAAAAAAAACCTCCACAGCTTTTTAACAACAATTTCTCCTTTAGCAGCTCCACAGTTGTTTCTTCAAACAATTGCAACTACCTCAACTAAACCGTTAAATCCAATTCTTACTTCATTTGTCTTAAACCTTGGATTTATGAGATTTAACAATAAAAGCACGCGAAAACAAGAGAAAGTAATTTATATTGCTACATATTGAAGTATTAAATATGTAAACATATAGGAACTGAGTGATAAATATCTAAATGTTTCTTCTAAAAATTAAATAACTAAACATATCTAACTTTACAAAATTTATTTCTTTAGGTTTTGTTTGGGGTAGCTGCAGTTGTTGAACAAGCAACTGCAGTTGTTCAACAAGCAACTGTGAAACAAGTGCTGTTTTTCACAAAATTGTGGTTGTTCTTACAAATTTATTTTAATTTAAAAAGACAGACAATAATTTTCTAGCAACCATCACACTAAATAATAATAATAATAATAATAATAATAATAATAATTTTATAATACAAAATATTTTAAAAAAACAAAAAATAAAAAAAATAATAAAAAACAGTTCCTAAACAAAATTTCTTGTTCCGTTGAAAACCGAAGGGGAGGCTTCCACCTCGTGAACGAGTGTGTTCGTCAGAATTGGATTGCCGAGACGAAATAATGAAGGGCGGGGAAGGTAGCGGCGAGGTTGGGCTGCAGCAGGGCTTCTGCTGCCGGGAACTCGAGCTCCGAGAATTTCCCGATAAGTACGTGATCCGATCTCTCGATCCCAGCTTGCCAGATCAAGCCTTCGCCGTCAGCCGCTCGGACGGCGGTATCAAGTCGCTCACTGGTTGGTTCCTTCCCCACTCATCCCTCCTCCTAATCCAGATTGTTCAGGATAATCGATCCCTTCATATGTTTCCTCCTGACGTTTTTTCTTGTAGATCCCGTTAGCTGAAGCACAAATATTTTTTTTTCGAGTTTCTGAACTTGCCGTTCGTTTTTGGAGGAGTTACACAGAATCCATACTGTATTTTTCTTTATTTTTATTAATTTTTGTCGTCTTCTCCTTTTGAGTTTCTTAATTAGCCTGTTCTTACAGTATTCTAGATAGACTTGTCATTCATGACATGTCGTTTAACTCTTGAGCTTTGGTTATCTTTCGGAAAATCAATATGAGGGTTTAAGCGCATGCTTGATTGACCAGGCCTTCGTTTGAAACAATTTCTGATCTTGATCGGCTTTTTGCTTCAAGTCCTACTTGTATTGGCAGATCTTTATAAAGATTTTGTTGCTTGGCGGCAAAAGGTCTTATATATTAGTAAAATTTCGGCGGATGGATGTTCTGATGCCGTGTTCTGCACAAAATCAATTCAGACAGAAGGTTATTTGGCTAATCTGAAGATTTTGTTATCAGGAAGACATTTTGATGTCAGTTATTAGCTTGAAGGTGAGTAAGGGTTGAAAATAATCAACAAAAAATTCACTTTGGGTTTAAAGAGTTAGAGTAAGTCCAATAATCTTCCTTTCAAATGGTATTTATAGGAGTTTAGCTGAAGGACATTTTCATGTCTCGCTGAGATTTGCTATGTCACTTTTGATATTCGGGATGAAATCAAAATGTTTGTTGATCGAGGGCATTATATTTTTCTGACTGATGAAGGGATGGAGAACTATGTCATGTCACTATAAAGATTTATGTTAGATCATCATCACCTTATTGACAATGAAGGGATCAATGGAATCCCTATGTTTCAAGGTTAATGTTGATGAAGATTTGAATTGATTGTTTTGATTCACATGGATGTCTACAAGATTGGCATTAATGGTAATATGAATTGAATGGCCTAATTTACCCCAATTTTGATGCCAATGAAAGTATATTTCATTTAGTTTGACTTGTTGGCAGCACAATATCAATGCAATCAAGCATTATAGTAGCTAGAAGGACCATGGTTGAATAAAGATCTTCTGAGCCCCAAATATTTTGATTATGTCGTGAAAATTTCAAAAGCACTTGAATTTAATTTATATCAATGCTTAGTCAATTGCATCTTTATTTTAAAGATGTTGATAGCTCGATTGATGTTTTTTTAAACCATAGATTGATTTTTTAACTTTCGACCGCGATTGCTTTCATGATGTCAACATGGTCGTACTTGACATCTTCTTTGGATTGGGACCGAGTGTGTTTGAATTGTCCCAATTGTTTCTCTTTTTCGTCAAATTTTGATTACACCATTCTCATAGGTACTAATATTTGAGGATCTTGAAGTCTAACCCAGAATATTTATGAAGCTGACTTTTTGTTTTTTTCTTTTATCCATCAAAATTGGGCACAAGTTAATGATCATCTTAAAAGTTCATATGACCATTGATGATCTTAGTTAGATTATGGTTTCAAAATTGATTTTATTTCTTTACCTGTAGCAATAAAACCTCGATAACTAAAATCAACTAGTGACACAATTTGCGAGCCTATCATGACATAGAAATTCTTGGCATGCTAAGGCCTTGTGTGCATCATGTGTTGCATGAGGCTAGGGTTGAGTGCCTAATAGGAGATAAAGGGGCACCACCTATCAGAGGTCTCTTAGTGACAATTTTTGAAGTAGCCACCTCTTGTTAGGTGGTTGTATATCAACCGCTTTTTATGAGTAGATAAAATGGTTCATGGGTTTTATAAATACCCCTTTCCCATCATATGCATTGTAAGTCTAAAAAGTTAACACTCAGGCTATGAGTGTTGGAAGTATATATACTATAATTATGCAGAGCTTTTAGATTAGATTATCAAATAAGACTTTTATTTTATTTTTTGTTGATAAGGTGACAATATTGATATTAGGTGCTGGATTTTAAACTAAGGCTCTAGCTCTTTGTTTGGCATGCAAGCAACAAGGGTGAGCTTGTTCGCTAACTTTTCAGCTTAGCACCTACCCACACACCCTTCATTTTACGGCAAGATGGAAATGGTGATCTCGATATTAATATTTCAGCTCAGACTCCTTTGCACTTTGTTCAGTGTAGGGTTATAGTGACTATCTCAATTGGCAAAATTTCTATTTTACCTCCCACCATGAGCTATTTGTTGGTATTTTAGTCAGTGGTGGGCCTAGGTGAAGACCATTCAACTTAGACCCCATTCTATGCTCGTTCTTTGGTAGCGAGATGACAATAATGGTTTTAAATGCTAAGATTTTAGCTCAGTTCCTCTTTGCATGGTGAAAGTGGTGGAGCTCGGTGCTGATTTTTCAACACAAGCCCCCTCTGCGCACTGTGTTTGCTGACAAGATGTTAATGGAAAGGTTCTGTTTTGTGGTCCTCGCTATCATTCAACTTCTGATCAATTGCACTTGTTTGATTAATGACATTGATTTGTACTCACAGATTGTCATATGACAAGGTTTTGGATTGGAGGATGATTTTTTCTCTCTTATAAGTAATTTTTTTCTCTCGTAAAATTCCTGATAAAAAAACAACAGGAAATATTGGTTTTTTCCTTCTCAATCTTCAGTAAGAGTTTTACATTTTGATTGAAATTTTGAATTTCAAGAGTTCAAGAGAAAAGGTAAAAACTAAAAACAAAAAAAAAAAAAAGAAAGAAAGATGATTTTTTTTTTTCTTTTGATTGAGAGTTTTAGAAGAAAAGAGAGAAAAACCTTATATTCATGATTTTGCTTCTCTCCCAAAAGTGCAGAATGTTGAGAGAAGGGAATCATTTAAGGTTCTATTTGAGGTAGCTTCTGCATTGCTTTGCTTTTCAAATCACTGCCACACTTTCATCTGGCTACTATTTTTTTGTTTCTATTCAAAGCTTTGTGGTTGGAAGCTACTTTTCATAATTAGATCAACTAGTATTTCGTAGTTATATGAAAGTTGTTATTCAATATTTTAAAAAAAGAAATTGTTTATAATCACAACAGCCCTTACAAAATTTGCTTTTACTGCAATAACTTGACAGCCATTATTGTAAAATGCCACAACTGCTATGAACAAATAATTTTTTTAAATTTTTGATGAGACACAAACTAGTGGTGTAAATGAGTCGAGTCAAGAGCTCATGCCACCCTTGGCTTGAGCTTAAGCTTGGCTCGAGCTCGATTAATTACTCAATTTTGAGCTCGAGCTCGAGCTTAAGTTTATGAGTTAAAGTGAGCTCACGAGCCAACTTGTTTATTATAAAAGAGAGAGAACAATATTAATTTAATCTGCAACTATAATTAAATGACAAATAAAATAAGCAATTAAAAGATAAATAATAAGAAATCATATGATATAAAATATAAATATTTTTTTAAAATATTTTTAATAATTTAAAAATAAAGTCTTGAAAATTAATATTTTTTGAGTATATTTTACATTAATATTTTCTTAAATGAGTCAGCTCACAATCTAACAAGCCGAGTCGGGGTTGACTTGAGCTTGGCTTGTTAGCTCATCAAGCTCAACTCAAGTTCCATTTGTTGAACTGAAGCCTGAGTCGGCTTACCAGTCCGCTTGGCTCATTTACACCCTAACACTTTTAATAAATGAATCATATCCTATCTTTATTTCAATGATAATGTATATGCCAAATTAGCTATAAAATTTTATTTTCTTTCTTGTCTTTCAACTTTCAACAAGAATAATTTTCTTCTTTCTTAAAGTTCCCAACATGATGAAAAGAAAATGTATGCTTTCTTTTTTCTGCACATTTATATTTTTTTCTTTTCCTTTCTCTCTCTGGGGATGGAATGCTTTGTGCAACTATGCTACGATAATGCTGATAATTTTATAAAGTTTGTCAAGTGATTAAATACTTTGGCTTAAATGGTGAAACATGGCATAAGTGATTCGCATTGAGTTGTATAATATAAAAAAGATGCAGTTTTGAATAACTATAGGAACTAGAGTTGATGCCAATTGAATTTAATCACACTTTCTTATTCATTTTTCTTTGCAGGGGATGCTATATCTGAAAGTCCTTCTAAAGTTTCACAGATTTTTGGTGTGGTTGGAATTCTAAGATTGATATCGGGTAATCCTTATGCGGGTCTCGTTAAATTGCTGCATTTCATGTCAAGTAAATTGCAATATCTTATGTATGCTTCAACAAGTTGTGATAGATGACATCCTTTTATAGATATTTTATTGAACGAAGATTTACGTACATTCGCTCAATTCCTATGAAACGATTTATCTAACACCTAAACTTTATTTTTTATATATATGTCACCTTACTTATGGATGAAAAGGTGTCATGGGAAAGTAGTGGAAATTTCTATGTGACATGAAATAGTTTGGTGATTTAAATGAAGAAAGTAAAGTTTATGTGTTAGATATGTAAATACATAGGAATTGGGTGGTATGTATGTAAATGCCCCTTTATCAAAAGTACGTGCTGTTGTTATTATGCTTATAGTGCTTCTTTAATGGGCACATTCTACCACTTATTTCCTAAACTTAATGCCCACTTCACAAGGTTTCCCTCCTCTCTTATTGTGATATGTCAAAATAAAAGTCGCAATGTGTTACCTTTGCGTGTGAACTCAATTTGGCAATGTGTTCTTTTGCATTTTTTTAAAAGAAATTTTATGCAACAGTTTTGTTTTTTAATGGGAAATGTGTGATGGGAAGCTATACATTGTATGCTTACATCCTTGTGGCTTTACAATCACGGGAAATTCTTTTGCAGAACTCATTCATCTATTTGATAAATAATAATGCTCTGACAGGAGTTTAAATTTGAAGATGAAATAAAAAAAGAATTACAAAAATTCGTCTTTTTTTATTTTTTTATGATTGAGAGTTTAAAATGGGAAGAGAAGTAAGAAAGTGAGAGGAGGAATTTCTTCAACAAATAAGCTTTAGCTTATTTTGGAGTTAGAGGAGTTGATTTAAGTAATTTTTGATAATATACCCAAAATACGTTTTTTCTAGTTAAATGACAATTGCTTATCACTTCTCAATCATTGTTTATCTGTTTTTCTTCGTATGGGTTAATTAATTTCTAAATTTATTTAGTGAATAAAAATTGTAATTAACTATATCAATTAGTAAATTATTAATTAAGATGTTTTTTTATGTTGATTGCTAAAAAGGTTTAGATAGGCTGATTTGAAAGTGAATGTTAATTATTATGTTATCAGTCTAAATAATTAATAAAAATATAATAATTAGAATATTTTCTTATTTTTTCTGTAATAATTAAAAAATTATACTTACTTTCCTCTTATAATTACTATGTTATCAGTCTAAATATATAGGCTGATTTTAGTTTTCTTTATGAATATTGTTGTGTATTGTAATAATAAGAGGAAAGTAAGTGTAACATTGGGGCAATGGGAAGTTTTTGAAAAAAACCTCCATTCGAGGAGGGCACAATACCCATCAGGCGGGGAAAACCACAAACTCATTTGGAGAATTCTTTTAAAATTGGGGTTTCATGATTTTCTGTAGGTATAAAGGTGGAGCAATTGGGAAAACTTTTTCAAAAGAAATTCATTCAAGGAGAATACAGTACTCGTTAGGCTGAAAAATTGTGAATTCGTATAGAGAATTATTTTTAAAATCGGGGAGCTCTATGTTTGCAATCTAACCCTCTTTGCAGGTACACTAAAGGACCGTTGTATCTTTTGAGATCGCAGGTTAAATGTTTTTTTTTTAATTCCCCGTTGCTTTTTTTGAGATCGCGAGTTGAAAACTTTGATTTTGCTTCTCAGTCGCAGTGTTTTACGACACTGACCAACATTTCTTTTGAGATAACTGAGAAGATTGACACTCTCTCGTGCCCCCTAATGGGGGTTGATGTCGGGAGGTTGCCGGAATTTCTGGTGAATTTGGACTTGTAATCATTTGATATTCTGAACTTTTAAAATAAAATAAAATAAAACATCACTCACTTTAATTTTAAAATGAATTTTAAATTTGAGCTTTCAAAATTTAGGCTCTTACGACTTCAAAATTTTGGGGACCTGGGCTCTTGAATATTTAGGCTCTTAGGGTTTTAAAAATTTTATAGTTTTGGGCTGTTAAAATATAAACTTTCAAGACTTAAAATATTAAAATATGTATTTTAAAATTTAAGCTCAAAATATTTTAAAATTGACTTTTTTGGACTTAAGCTCTTAGAGGACAAAAAATAATTCAAAAGCGAAACCCTTTAGAAATTTTAACATCCCATCACCGAATTCGCAATACATCTACTAGCGAATAGAAGACTATAAAATACTTGAAATGAAAATTTATGTGCAATCATTCACACCAAGTTTCAAGATGTGTAAATGGTTTAATCACTTTATCAAGTCTTAAGATAATATTCAATTTCAATATAACTATATGAAGTTTTAATCAAAGCTTTCAGATGCATTCTCTTAAGACCTTTGATTTAATTCATGTTTGAAACCATATAATAGCATTAAGTCACCAAATTCTTCATCTAAAATAGCTCAAATACATAAATTTAAATGCCATGCTCGCGTGTGCTCGGACCAATGTATTGGATGTTCAAATACTTAGATTTGAGAATGCTATACGGGCTAATCGGGCCGCCTTATCTATAAGATATGGTTATAAGTCCCACCTAATTAGTTCGATTCTCTTCCTCGTAAGGGTTGAAGTTAGCGAGTCTAGTAATTTTTAAGTAAACGCCCCAATTCTAATGATAATGATTTACAAGTCCAAATCAACTAATTCGATTCTCCCCCTTGTAAAGACAGGAGTCGATAAGATTTATACCCTAAAATGATGAAATTAACTGCCTCCTTTAAATATAAATGTTTAAAATGTTTAAATTCCCGATGATGACCGTGTTGGTTGAAGATTTCAACCAGAGGTGTTAATCTTTAAAATCAAAATTTTCAAAATAACCAACTAATATGTAAATAAAATTCAATCACTTAAAAAATAAAAACAAAATCTATCGACCATTCGCAACAGTTTGTCAAGGGTGAAAAATTTTTGATTGATTTCAACTCACAAAGAGCTAACATCATATGAAGTGTATCCCTATATTCACAATCAAAGTAATTTTATGCTAGTAAGGATGTGGCCCAAGTTCCCTGTTCGCATGGTTCTACTGTCAAATGATACCACAAAATAGCGGTTACAACTAGAGCTCTCCGACCGAGTGGTTGTTTCGGGTGTCGTCAAATGATACCATTATATTATGATCATGACCACATCCTGCATGTTCCCCAATGACTTTTTTTTCATTTGAGTTGTGAATCATAATGTTACAATTGATTGAAACAAAACCTTCTATTAGTAAAGATCGACATAAATTTGTTCCCTTAGACAAACATCTATCTCAGATCTACAAGGATATCTTGGACGACGCAACCCATAGCTGCTGACTAGAATTCTTCTGTCAGGTTGGGTCGATTGCTTTCTTTGATTAAGTAGATCAGGGACCACGATGGCTTGGGATAACAAAATCACGAGATTTGGCCATTCCCCCACCATCTGCTTTAAGCCTCCAGTGATAAATTTTACAATTTAAAATCCTAAGTCTGCTGCTATTATATGTTAAATATCAATTCTTAATGACTAGCTTTAATCGAAAGTGCTCTCTCTTATCAGGAGGGGTAATTAACAATAAGGGCTCGCACCTATGAGAAACCTCGAATCCCAGATAAAAAAGTTCTCATTAATGAAGTCAAAATCTCCGGGCAGTGTATTAACTAGAATCTAATATGTCTTCTGAAAATTTGAATTTCCAAAGCTCTCTCTCAAAAAAAAAAAAAAATAAAAAATAAAATAAAATAAAAAACATAAATGCAGAGAGTTGTCGTGGGGAGCGGTTGTGAATTTTCGGAGTCCATATCTTAGTATATCTATCATGTGTGGAGACTTCTAAGAACACCTTTTGCTTGATTTTATGCAATTTGGAGTTTTTTTTTTCTTTTTGGATGTCTGCTTTTCTAAGGGATATATACTCCTTTGCGTTCATGAAGTGATCCCTCATCTTTATTGAGAGGAGGCGGTGGAAGGTCCTAAGCTTTGTCTACCACCGACCAAGTCGCCGATCCCTTTTTCTTTATTTTTTTTCTACGACAGTTGCCATCACCGCTTCCCTCTTCTGAATCCTAGTTAATTCTTATATTTCTCCTTTTCTTTATTCTATAAACATTCCCAACCCCTTGTATCGAATTTCATACACCATCTATGAACTCTAGATCATTGTTATGCCTACTTTGAAGGTGCAGTTATATAGTTCCTATTAAATAAAAGTATATTGGGTACACATTATGTCCAGCTCCTCATTATATTCTTGGTTTTGAGATTTTTTTTTTTCCTATGAGCACTTCTAGGTGGCATCAAATTTCAAAGAATTTGTCTTGAATATTTTAATTTTGATCAATAAATATCTTTAATGATTGTATTTCAACTTTGTAACTCCAATCAAAGCGAAGGATTTTCTAATTTGACACAAATTTGAACAATTGGATCTCCGAGTCTAGTATGGATGGAATCTTTGGGCCATTCATGATTGTTATTGACATTCTATTAGATTAAAATTAAAGGCTTTTAAGGTTTTATCTTGTTTTTTTTTTAAAAACTTGGCTTGTGGCTTTTATATCTTATCTGCTTTTTGACTTGTTGGTTATTTTAAGTGGATTTGACATGCATACCACCCAATGATATTATTGTAATCACAATTTATTTGCCACAATTAGATCTCTAGTTGTGGCTAATTTGAACACAATGGAGAATACCAATACCAATTGATACGCCGCCAACATATTTTCATTATCCAACATGAATATAGAAGCATGACACGGATCTCGAGATAATATTTTGAGTAACAGATGTTCAAAACTTGATAAAAATTAATCCAGAGCTCCAATTTCAACAAACTTGTAGTCAAACTGACCGACTTGATGAGACGAAACTAATGATATAAAAACTAGTCCAATTCGAGTCAAATCAAACCCAATTTAAGTCATTAAATCACTCTTGGAAGATCTCCGGACATTTGGAAAGTCAAACGAATGCCGAAGATGACAAGTTTATAATTGAATCGAGCGTCTTGACAAGACAAATCCAACGAGCCCAAGATTGCACAATTCTGACATCGTCAAGACACTCATGTTGTCTGGTCGGAGGAAGCTCTCTGGACCGTTCGATAAAAATGGTTCATACTCCAACATTAATGACACCCCTAACGCTATAAATAGACCTGTACCCCTCTCATGAGGGGGGAGTTGAAATCTAGAGAGAGAGAGCCTGAGGTCTTGAGGAGCTGTAACTCATTATCATCGCCAACTGTCGTCGACCACTGTCGACTGCTGTCGACCACCGCCAACCTCAGTTGACCACTGCCGACCGTCGTCGACCACCACCAACATGACACCGTCAGTCAATGTTATAATTTGAAAAATCTAGTAACCCTTTCTCGTCTGTGGGATAAAAGCTCATCACTACGGTCCATGTGCCAACAACGATCAGCGTGGTCTTCAACCCATGCAGCTCTCGACTCTCGCCGCCTTAGCCTACGGACGTCATTCTCACCTCTACGGCCTACGTGGTTCACAGCTCATACAGCTCCAGACTCCGGCCCCCGCGACCTACAAACGTCATTCATACTCGTCTCTACTGCCTACGTGGTTCACAGTTTGTGCAGCTCCCGACTCCGACCCCCGCGGCCTACAGACGTCATCCATACTTGCTCCTACGGATTACATGGTCCAAAGTACGTGCATTTCCCGACTCCGGCCCCTGCGGCCTACGGACGTCAGTCATACTCACCCCTACGGCCTAAGTGGTTCACAGTTCGTGCAACTCACGACTTCGGCCCCCGTGGCTAACGGACGTCATTCATACTCACCCCTACGACCTATGTGTCTCGTGCAACTCGCGACTTCGGCCCTCGTGGCCTACAAACATCATTCATACTCGCCTCTACTGTCTACGTGGTTCACAGCTCGTGCAGCTCCCGACTCTGACCCTGCGGCCTATGAACATCATTCATACTTGCCCCTGCGGCTTACATGGCCCACAGTTCGTGTAGCTCCCACTCCGACCCCCGCGGCCTATGTACGTCATTCATACTTGCCCTTATAGCTTACGTGGTCCACAGTTTGTGCAATTCTCAACTCCGGCCTCCCTTGCCTACGGATGTCATTCAACTCCGGCCCCTGCAGCCTACAACCTACTTGAACCATCAAGATTATACTTAGATTAAATTTTTGGGATATTTGCTTTTTTCTGTAAAAATACATATTTTTTGCTTTCTGCTTAATTGTTGGGTGAATGACTTTCTGCTTTTTTTATTAAGATATGTTCTTTATTGCATGAATGTTTATGCAAAATTCTCATGTGGGTTTGAAATGTCTATCTTTTCAATTGACTTCGATTGTTTTGTTTCCTATCGATTATTGATTCTCCGTTGTGGTTCCATAAAGAGGTGGAAATTAATAGCCATATTTAGATTGAAGAACTTTCTTAGATTATTATAGTGGCCGTCATAAACTTTTTTTTCTATGCTAAAGCGATTAATTACCAAGTTTTGCTTTAATTTGATAATTTTCTGGCATTCATTAATATTATTGTGGTGCCTGTAACACAATTGTTGGATGAAACATTAACTTGTTGAATATTTTCTCCAATTTTTTTTAGCATTTAGGAAAAGGCACCGAACCAGCTTTTCCCTCTTTAGTAAAGCTAACTGTGGCTTTCTGTAATTTGTTTAGATTGAACTCATCATTTCGATACAGGAACATACATACTGGTTATAACCTCCCGGGAGGAAATTGGAACCTATTTTGACTCCCCAATTTATTCTGCGAAGTCCATGAGATTTTTATCCTGCCATAAAGCTTGGAGAACTTCTCAGGAGGTACACTGTTCTGAATTTGTAGTGTTCTACTCCAACTATCATAAATTCCTTGTGCATCTTCTTCTTCAGAGTTCATACTCACTCCACTCTGCAATTGTATGTATAAAAAGGAAGGAAGATGCATACCACTTAATTTTTATCTCACACCTAAACTTCAATTTTTACATATACGCTGCCTTACCTATGCATGAAATAAAGTATTTCACTTTTTGAAATTTAAAATAGTGGTATTTTTGATGTGATAAGAAAGATTTGGGTGGTACAAATATAAAAGTAAAGTTTAGGTGTTAAATGTGTATATACGTATATATGCCCCAAAAAGGAAATTCATTCCACCTTTTATGCATGTCTCTGTGCAGAAAAGAGATGAGGGTTACTTCATGTCTTTGTTGAGGATAGTGGAGTCAACACCTGGTTTATATTATTCTTATGAGTTAGATCTAACGTTAAAGTAAGTTTCTCGGTATGTGTTTCTTAGGAGTATCTTTCTTCAAATTACTCTCATTTCAACTTTGGAATTACATCAGTTTTGCCTGGAAATAGCATGATAAATTAAATATCTGGGCCTTTTTATGTAGCTTACAGAGATCATGCAAGTTGGATGAAGTGAGACTTAGCAAACCCCTTTGGAAACAGGTTAGCTACTGTGTAAATGGTTCTATTGTTGTCCTATTTTCCCTTTTTCTTGTTTGGGGCATATACATACATAGCACACAATTTTTATGTATTTACATATCTCACAGATAAACTTTTTTATTTACACACATAGCATTCAAAATTGTAATATCACTTCAAAATAGCATTGTTATCACTTTTTAAAAGTGAAATACACATTTTCATGTGTACCAAAGTGCCATGTATGTAAATATGAACTTTTAGGTGTAAGATTTTTAAATTCATAAGAATTGTGTGCTAGGTATGTAAATTTTCCTTTTTTGTTTTTGTCTTTACTTGAGAGCGTGAATAAAGTAAACACTATCACTATATTTCAGCACCCTTACCCAAACAACCCATCTCTCATAGCCTAGGAAATATGAATGTTCACCTTGCACTTCTTGATTGGATACTATGACTGACATTGTATTTATTTGAAGTTGCAAACACAGTGGCGGGTTAAAATTGTTGAAGCTAAAATAACCTTCTGTCATGTTTTGTTGGCTATTTTAATCTTTCTATTGAACTTTGTGACTCAAAGTATTGTTTTATTTTTTGTGCTATGAAAAAAAAAATGCAAGTTATCTTGTTACAGATTTATAGCATCTCTATCTTATCATGCATGTATTTTGTTTTAGAACTGCTTATTTTACTTTGAACTTGAAAATTTCAAAAGTTTGGTAGTTTTTTACATTCTACTTTAAGATGGGCACTCGAAAATACTGAATGAAGCTTGGTAGTCTTACTTTCCTTTCTGCATTTCTCTGCTGCGCATAACTACAGAAATTGAACCCGGCTTCTTCTTTTTGCCAGAACTGTACATTAATGAATTCATGCATGAAACTTGCTTTTAATGTTTTGCTCTACATTTCAGGCTGACCCACGCTATATTTGGAATAAAACCTTGCTCGAAGATCTTATTGAGCATAAGGTTGTAATCTTATTTGAATAATAATCATATTATTGATTGTTGAACTGCAAAGATTAATATTAACTTAGATCTTCATTGTTTTGCAGCTTGATGCGTTTATCATTCCTATCATACAAGGAAATATCCTTTCATTGAAAAATTATGTATCTGAAAGAACTTATTTTTATGTATTTTCCAAGTTTGTGAAAGCCAAACAGGTTCAATGTTCAATTGTTCAACTGAGGTTGAACCGGATGATATAATAATGATACAATAATACTTTTTAATTGGTTCAATAAATAATATTTTAATTTAAGACATTTTAATTTTGAATATTTTGAATAATATACTATTCAAAAATTGGAGACAACATTTTCTCCATTTTTTATTTAAATATATATTTTTTTAACCATCCGATCAAAATTAAATAATTTTAATTAGTAATATTAAAACAAGCGTGTTCTTTAAAAATCAGAGAAGTTTGCCGGTTCGTCGGTTTGCCGATTCAACACTGGTTATCACAAGTTTAATACAGTTCTGTGCATAAATGGTTTTTAGTTTGGACAGAGCCGGTCTAATGGCTGCTCAAGGTTGAACCGGTCGAATCCATGAGTCCGGTCAGGTTTTTAAAACCATGGTATTTTCATACGCATTGTTCTATTTTTGGAGAAATCTGGCTTTAGCTTCCATATGCCTATGTTGTTTGTCATGACATGTACATATTAGGATGGATAACACTTTTGTTCTTCATATGATGCTTTAAGGACACACTTGTGGTATGCCTTAACAGTATTTTAAGCTTCCGAACGATCGACTTCACTCTCAAACATTTGCCTGCCAAGATTTCTTTGATCTCACGAAGATGTAACCGCCGTCTCGGTAATTTACTATGATTATTACTTTAGAGAAGTTGCATTGCATCCGAGTTTAATAGTCTTAATACCAATTAATTCATGCTTGAATCTTTTTCTAATGTTGAAACAAATTTTTCAGGAACTAGAATGTGGAGGAGAGGAGCCAATCTTGAAGGTGATACAGCTAACTTTATTGAAACAGAGCAATTGTTAGAATTGGAAGGGTTTAAGTTCTCATTCTTACAGGTGATTCTATATTTTGCACCTTAATTGGTTAAATCAGTTGGCAAAAGTTTTGTTTGGATGTGTTGGTTTCTTGAAAATGAGAAAGAAGAGAAAACTTAAGCTGAATTGATGTAGATTGAAGGGAAAAATTAGAACCGCACACCTTTTGTGTAGCCTTACAATATTTAATCTTGGAGCTAATAATAAACTTTCAAGAAAAAGACCTAAAAACAGTCAAGAAAATAACAAGAAACAAAATCAAGAAAAATAGTAACTAACTTTTAAGATTAAGGAACAAACTTGACTCAATTAAACCTAAACTCAATAAGTAGTCCTAAGCATGTATTCCAACACTCCTCCTTGCTTTAGGAGTTGCGAACACCAAATTTCTGTCTTAGAAACTCAAACTTGCTGATTGAAAGTGACTTTGCAAACAAATCTAACAACTGATCTTCAGATTTGCAATGAACCAGAGTCACTAATTCTTCTTTCTGCACTTCTCTTAGAAAAAATAACTTGATGTTGAAATGCTTAGTTTTCCCATGAAACACAGGATTATGGGAAATGGAAATTGAAATGACAGCTTGATTGTCAACAAAATTTTCAGTGTTTTCTTTCTGCTTCAGATTGAGATCCATTAAAATTTTCCTCAGCATTTTACCATTCTTTCTCTTGGGAGAATCATCATCGAAGTCGTTGGAGAAATGGGAGGGGAGCTTAGCAGCTTCCCTTCCCAGGGAGCAGTGAATTGTAGTCTGATTTAAGAGAGTCCGTCCTCTCAACTATTTTGTCATTGTTCCCTGGTGTGAGAACTGTTGCAGCTGCTTCAGTTGTCTTTCTCCATTGATTTGACTACACCCTAAGCCTCCTCAGCTCAGATTTTAGTTGTTTATTCTCATCCATAATGCTTTACAGCTGTGTTTCCTTATCCAAGAGGTTTGCTTTCAGTTCTGTGATTTCTATAGTAGCTTTTATCAGCCTCATCTCCGAATCAAATTGGCTCGCTATTGCCTCATCCATTTCATATTTCAATTCTCCATTCATTCGCGACATGGCTCGGAGTTTGTTTTCATGCTCAAAAGGCAAGCTTTCAACTCTAAAAGTTATGTAGTTGTTTTTTATAAGGTTGACTCTAGTTCTAATTCCCTCAGCCCTGCATCAACTTTCACATGCCTAGCCATCTCAATTGCTGATTGAATATTCATAGTACTTTCAATTTGTTCTTGTTGGATTGAGTGAAAAACTCCTCCCTGCCATCTTAACTTCAAACATCTTTGGTTCGTAGCATCCTCTATCACACAGGTCTTCTTCATGAACAACACTTTGAATCCATTTTTTATTAATTGACCAACACTGAGCAAGTTTTGATCAATATCTAGTACATAGAGAACATCGGCGATTAACTTGGTTTCTGAACAACTTGCAATGACTACGGTGCCCTTTCCTTTGACTGCAATATATTCACCATTCCCAATTCTGATCTTCTTGGACTCGGTGCTCTTTAATTCCTTGAACAACTCCTTGTCATGTGTCATATGATTAGTGCATCCACTATCAATAAGTCAATTTTCACTTGTTTCATAACTCGTGAAATAAGTTGCAATGAAAAGATGGTCATCTTCTTCTTGATCTACTACTTGTGTTTCATCTCCTTGTTGTTGATCTTTATTCTTGCAAATGACTGCTTCATGTCCCATTTGATTGCATTTGCTGCACTTGTTGCACTTTGCATCTGGTCTTCTCCAGCATTTGAAAGGAGGATGATCTTTCTTGCCACAATGTTGACATGGAGGATAATCTTTTTTTACTCATAATATTTTATTTTCAATTTTGTTTCTGTTCTTAGGTGCAGAGCTTGTTCACTTGTAGCTTGAAACTTCTTGTTCTTGGGCCACCTATTCTTTTCGTCATCTTGATGCTTGACTGGTAGAGCTCCTTCGATGACTCCTTTTTCCCTCATTACACGCCTCTGCTCTTGTGCTTCTAAAGCACTTAAGAGTTCTGTCAAAGCAATCTTTGACAGATCCTTCTTGTTTTCTAAGGTGGTGATGGTAGCCTCAAATCTTCTAGGCACTATTACAAGGATCTTCTGAACAATCCTTGAATCTTCCAGAGAATAACCCAATAATTTGACACGATTTGCTATGTTGAGTAGTCTGTCAGAGCACTCATTTATGGTTTCTGTCTCCTTCATCTTTTGCAATTCAAAGTCACGAACCAAGTTTAACATCTGCATTCATCTCCTTCCTTTCATCTCCTTCATACTCGGATTTGAGATAATCCCAAATCCCCTTTGGCGTTTTCAATGACATGATACGAGTGAAGATCGTGGAGTAAATTGCAGCAAACATGCAAGCTTTTTCCTTGGACTTATTTGTCTTCTTCTCCTTTTGTGCTTTAATTTGTGCTACGGTGGTTAATTTGTGCTACGGTGGTACGGTGGTATTTTTCAGGGAGAAGAGGAATGTCATAGTCTTCTTCCACTGCTTCCCAGAGATCCAATACTTCCATGTACGTCTCTGTGCGGATAGCCCAGATCCTGTAGTTGTCTCCATCAAACACTGGTGGAGCAATTGAGGAAAAACTAGCTTCGATCTCCATTGCCGCTCAAACTCATGCACATGTCCCTTAAGATGAGAGCTCTGATACCAAATTGTTGGTTTCTTGAAAATGAGAAAGAGGAGAAAACTTAAGTTGAATTGCTGTAGATTAAAGGGAAAAAATTAGAACCACACACCTTTTGTGTAGCCTTACAATATTTAAACTTGGAGCTAATAATAAACTTCCAAGAAAAAAGACCTAAAAAGCAGCCAAGAAAATAATAAGAAACAAAATCAAGAAAAATAGCAACTAACTCTTAAGATTAAGGAACAAACTTGACTCAATTAAACCTAGATTCAATAAACAGTCCTAAGCATGTATTCCATAGGATGTGTAAAATTTATCTAAGCCTAGCGGTATGCTTGAAAATTCAACTGCCTTGAACTACAGGTCTGTTAAATGCAAGTATCACATAGCATTATGTTCGAACAGCTTCAGGATCACTACCTTCTCTCTAGCTTTATAAAGGCAACATCTGGACCGGAGATGTTTTGTCTTAGTGAGCAAGATGTAGGATTCAGGGTGGATTAATCGAAAAAACCTCATAAATTTAGTCATAACTCATACATATGACATAAGCTATCAATATATTTTTTTAGTTTATTTTTATAAAATCCTAAATCACAAATCTCAACCTTAAATGTTAATATAAAATGAAAGTTGAGATTTAAGACAAGCCCATCTTTAAAATACTTTATAAGGATTAAGATTCACGACGACTTTGCCGTCATTGTCATCATCTTCCGAAGAATTATCCTATGTTTATATCTTCATCTGATTATTTCTCTATCCTCCAAATCTTAATCATTACGTTTTTCATTTTATTTCTTATGTTAATTGCTTATATGTTATATAATTAAAAATAAAATAATTAATTAATTGCATAATCAAGTAATCATACTTAAATTACTTTATGGCCTTTTTGAGATATTATAGCAGTTATATTATATAAAAATATAATATAATGCAATAATTTATATGAATAAGATAATGGTGATTTATATACATACCACATAAATATTATAAATTTTACATATCCAACACTTGAATTTTGACATCTACTTGTATAACATTTTAGTTTTATTATCATATCAGAATTTATGCATGAAATAGTGTATTTTGTCTTAGAAAAATTAATATTAATGATATTTTTGATGTAATGCTAAAGATTTTGGTGTTATATGTGCAAATGTTAAAATTTAGGGTTTAGATATGTAAATACATAATCTTTGTCCTTTTAATATGGTATAATGTAACTTTTTTAACATAACCTAAATGGGCACTGCCTGAAACTCTCAAAGCATAATGGCTGGAGGTGTACACCTCATATAAAAAAGGCATTAGTTTCATTGGTGATTACAAGGCAAGTCTCAAGGTGATTTTGAGATCCTCGGTGCAAGGCACCTCGTGGCATGCACTTCGAATGCCTTTTTAAACACAACTTTCTGTTTTCTATTTGGTTTTCTATTGCAGTATGGTGCAACTGTTAGTATTTTTTTTATTAAAATTGGATGATCATGAGTTTGAACTGTAGGAACATTCCCATATAATATAAGAACCTACATGTTTTAACCCCTCTTTCCC